GGGGGGGGGTTGAGCCCTTAAAACCTCTCTTTCTCTCCTTGTGTACGCTCTAGTTATACAGTATACTCTCGTTAGACGTGTAGAAACTTAAGGAGGACAGAAAAAAAGTCCAAGTTATTGAATTTCACAGTAATGAATAATAGTGATTATTTTAAGAAAATTTAAAAAATATGTAAAAAAAATGAAATCATATTTAAAAATTTTTCTATCAAAGTTAGCATATTACAAAAATAAATATATTTTATTAAATTGAAAAAATATATTTTTTAACATTGAATATATAAGAATATCATAACCACMATATTTTTGACATATATAAAACAATTAAGCTTCTAAATTTGTTTTTACTTTGTCAGATATTGCCGATATTGGTTTWAAAAAAAAGTGATAAGTCAATAAGTGCAGATGAAATACCAACAAATATAAAATATCAACAATTTATCATAGTCTCACCTCCTCTCTACCATAGTTTTAAACACAATGGGTAAAAAGTATTTATTTTTTGTATTTTATCTCGTTAAAAATTGACTCAGAGCTCAGAGTTAAAAATACTGTTTGGTACAATTTAAGCATTAATAATATATAAGTTACCATGACCTGTTTGATTAAAGAGCAAATTTTCAATAATTTTAATGAAAAATTTAATCACCAATGTCTGGATATTTGTGATATCAAAAATATTCTMCATTGAAGAATATATGTTTACTTAGTGTWAACTCAATATAACAGAATCACTTATTACTTGTTATTTTTGTCTAACGATAAGTTTTACTTACTTGCTACCACCTTCAATCTTTAATATAAACAGTATCGTTTACTCTACTGAAATATTTTTGATTTATATTAAGATTATACTGATTAAAGTTGTAAATAYTTTGACAAATTTTTTAAGGCCTCGCAAACAATTACTAGTTTTTACACAGGAAATTAAATTTGATATTTTTCAATTAAAATAAAATATATACAAATTGTAAAATCTTATTTTAATAAAAAAAAAACAATTGTGTACAAGTCATAAATACATTATGTTTGAAAAAATTGTTCAAACATTACAAACAATGTTGTACACTTTAAGACATGACTTTTTTCTTTAACTTTTTAGTCTTTTTCAAACTACTTAACGAATTTTTCAACAATGTGCAATATTCTTCTTGAAATGAACTCACTTCATCAGCAGTTATCTATACACACAAATGGTATTACAGATTTTATTAAACAATCGGCATCCAATATTACATCAAAGTCAATACTTACTCTAGTGCTTAATTTTTTGTTTTTGTATGTAGCCCTGATTAAACATACTTTTTCTTTAGGTACTTCAATTTTAAGTTTTTGATCCTTTGGGTCTTTTTTACTCAGAAGCACTAGATATGCAAACATAYGTCAAATTTGTATATTCCAAAACATAAATTTAGATACAGYGAAACCTCAATTTATAGACAGCTACTTTTGGTCAAACATTTTTAAACTAAATTCTTCAAAAAAAKATATTTTATTATACATGGAGTACACCGTTCTATATAAAGCTTTAAGTTTCTAATATAATTTTTAATCACATATTGGCTATCTATAAACAAAGATTTCACTGTATTATGAAATAATGAGCAGCTTACATAATTTCATTGTTATTCTCACTGATCCAGATGACTGAGATGTATTAAACAAAATGTTTAGCTCTTCCAAAAACTGTTAAACAAAGAACAAATTTCGTTAATGAAATGCTGTCTATCAATCAAATTTAATAATATATTTACAACTACCTAAACAAAATATTTTTATTTATTTTTTGATTTTAATTTAA